GCTGCCAAATCCTCTCTGGCTTCACTGAATTCGCCCTCCTCCATGCCTGAAACGAATATATAAACTTTTATCACGTGAATAAAGCCGACGACAAGCTTTGGTCAATGATTGTTTTTAAAAGTGAAACATTTCACTACGTAAACTAACGCTACAGTCACGTTATCATAGCCGAAAACACATGGTGTAACGACTTAGAGCCGCTTACAATGCCAGTTATCAAACTCTTGTTTGCATTTAACCAAATCAACTCTCACCGTTATGACCTTGCCAGCATTAAAGGCGCCTTTCAGGAATAGCACATGGGGTGGACGTGATATGTCGGCTTTGTTGAGACTGCTCTACTTACAATGAAGCGTTAAGACGGGACTAATGGTACGCTCATGCGAGAGTCACCCAGACGGTTACAAACGGCGATTTCGGACTTTGTTCGCCACCTTTAAACTGTTCTGCACCTCAGCTTCCATTATTAAACTTCATCTATGAAGATACCCCAAAATAATCGTTAACTGTGCCTTTTTTCGCAGTTCTTCGGGTAGGTAGTCAAGCAAAAGCATTCGAAGATATCGTAATTATATCCTGTTTAGTTTCGAAATAGCAAACCAGTAAAAAGTTCTAGAAAATCAACCCACCTTCTCCAACGTACCAATGTACAAATGCTCGCTTTGTATACATCAAATCGAATTTATGATCGAGCCTGGCCCACGCTTCTGCTATGGAAGTGGTGTTTGAAAGCATACATACAGCTCGATGTACCTAAATTAAAGATGCAATACCTTCGGGCCTGAGCGGGAGCTGGGGATGAACGGGAAATAGTGATAGTTCCAAATCATGAGATGATAAGCTGTTTTCGACATACGCGTACCACACAACATTATGTGGTGGCAATTTCTAGAACATTTTGTGTGTGTCACAAGTGTGGATACCTTTCCCCGAAAATCGCGCCCCCCGCACATGTTGCTATCTCGAGGTCAACATGACCAATGCAAAACGAACTTCTGACTTCTGACTGAACTTCAAACTTCTTGAAGCCGATCATTCGTGGGATAGTAGCGAAAACACCTCAAGGTTGCGTCCTGGACATTTCAGCCAATCTATGTATTTCTAATTAGAAGTTTCTACTTTCAGTTCCAAAGTTGTTGTATACAGAAGTGCCCTCTAGTGGGGAAACCGAAAGAACTGTTTGTGATTTTTTCTTTCAAAGTGATACCCATCCATTTGATATACTAACTCCTCCCAAAATTTTACTCACCTTCGCAAGGTCTCCACCTTCTACAGCTGTTGGTGGCTCATAGTTGATTCCAACTTTGAATCCTGTTGGACACCTGAACATTTTTGACTATAGCTCTGTTAAACGACAAAACAACAGTGCTAATTTCTTCATACCACTTGTGAAATGTTGAAAATATGTAAAATATTGTATATTAGAGCGGAAGTGGTGTAGTGGCAAGTGGCGCACTATCTCACACGCATGGTCACCGGTTCAAGCCCCGAATAGATATCCGCCCAGCCCCGAGAACGGCGTCGCGCTCGCAGCACCAGATCGTGTGCTGAGANTTTTGGTTGATTCCTCCTTCGAAGAGTATTGCCACCCATTCAAAATAGTAACTCCTCACAGAATTTCACTCACCTTCGCAAGATCTCCTCCTTCTACAGCTGTTGGTGGCTCATAGTTGATTCCAACTTTGAAACCTGTCGGACACCTGAAAATATTTCAATAACGTTCTACAATCAACGCATACTCAACAACGGAATTAGCAATGTGCAATGTCAGTTTTTTCACTGGCACTTGTGTGAAGCTTGAGACGTTTCGTGAGACATTGTATTAGAGCAGAGGCTATGTAGTGGTAAGTGGCACGCAAGGTCACGAGCTCGAATCTCGGACCGATCGCATGGCAAACAGCGCGAAACCACTGCCGTTTGCCATGGGAATTCGGGAATAAGTACCGACACCCGTGAAAAGGGCCAATCCTACTGCATCTTCACTTGACACAGCGAGTTCAGAATGTAAAAACTAACCAATCTACAAACTGAATTCCTTTCTTGAGCTTCACAGCGGCGATTGCAGCATTGACGTCTTTCGGTACCACATCACCACGATACAGCAAGCAGACTGCCTATGAATTCCGTAGATAACGTGATTTCCAAGATTCTACTGTTTATAAATCTGTACCATGTATTTCCCAGTTCGTGGATCACACTTAACCATTTGATTGTAGGGCTCGAAGCACATGTTAGTGATGTCTTGCACGGATAATGGCTCATGGTAGGCCTGGAAACAAAGGGTTTACAGAATGCTTTGCTCCCTGAAGGGTGGCATCTACATGGGGTCAGATTACTAACTCCATCTCGTTGGACACGTAGGTACCACCCTACAGAGCGTACACTTGGGCTCAACAATTTATATCTGTGGAATCTCACAGAACTGTGCAGCTACAAGGCCTACGTCAAAGTGAAGGAACGAACTTTTTCTGCAGATATGACTGGAGCGTAGGTAGCCAGAGGAAAATGGATTCGTGGATACGGTACGAGATTGGTCTGTAAATAGTCCTTCCATTATTCCTACAACTTGTTGTACTGACGCGTCAAACCTGAAATTCGGTCAAATCGACATTGAGGGCGCCGTCAAAACGAAGCGATGCAGTTATAGAAGAAACGATTTGGGCGATAAGACGATTCAGATTCACGTATGATGGACGCTGAAATAGTGAATGTCCATGCCCTGCTGTAACAGACTTAAAGGTACTGCAACTTATTGTTAGAAAGTAAACAATATCGTCGGACCCATAAAAGATGCATCGCACCTCAACATTGAGATTTCTTCTACATACGTCGTAGATAGCTTCGTTGTCGACCATGAAGGAGCAGTCCGAGTGTTCCAGTGTGCAGTGAGTCGTCAGAATTGAGTTATATGGTTCCACTACGGCTGTTGAGACCTGTGGTGCTGGATAGATACTGAAATAGGGAGGAATTCAGATCTGAGAAGTGCTATTTGGTAGTGACTTCGAGAACTTCAACCACCTGAATTCAAGTTTGCTCTTCTTTCCGTATTCAGTGCTCAGCCTTTCCATGAGTAGAGAGCTGAATCCACTACCGGTGCCACCACCAAACGAGTGGAAAACGAGAAAACCTTGAAGTCCCATGCAGGTCTCAGTCTTTAAGATATAACGCCATCAGTTCAAACTAAGTCAGCAGGAAGAGGAATGTATGAACTTACTTGTTTCCTGATGCGTTCCAATACGGTATCTATCAACTCCTTTCCTAGGGTGTAGTGTCCTCGTGCGTAATTGTTGGCTGCATCTTCCTTACCGCTGATGATCTGATCCGGATGAAAAAGTCCCGAAAACGCGCCCGTACGAATCTCGTCTGCAATAGAATGAATTGCCTCTTGTGTTTCGGGTGTCCTGTAAGGGAACCTCTGAACTAAAAGCCAATGTAATCAACTTCAAAGAGTTTGTCTTTCATGATGCTATTTCTCAACTTTTGAATGGGCACGGCCACTACTTTCCCTCGCTTCAGCGTCACTTGCGAGGAGGAATGTTGACGTTTCACGGTGGAATGGAATGGTTTCGCCTTTCAATTTTTGAATCACAGTTTTCTGAATTGTTAATATAAGGAGCCAATGCTTTACTCGAAAATGGGAGACGGCTCTCCCATTTTGGGCAGAGCGCTGCTCGAGTGAGACACTGGAAAATTTACTCCAGCGGTCAAAGCAGCCCTTATGAGGATGCGAGCCGCATTCAACTTTCATTTAAAGTAGTAGTGGTGTTTTAGCGCATAAGGCTTACACAACGTCTTCAGCTGGTAAGTCAGTGTACAAGTCAGTGCTTTTGTCCTACCAGGTAAGTCCGGTAGTATTCAATGGTTCCGCAGGGATGGACGGGTTGGTTGCTATGAGCGGACGTTCGAATTCCGTGGTATGAAATTATGCTGAGGTTCTTTCATACCAGGACCGGAAACAGCGAGAACATGGTTCACAATTTGGCGTTATTTAGGAAAAGTTGGCACTACTCGTTACCCAATCTAGTAGCTCCTAACTTTTCCACACCTTCTCATGTCAGATTGGCCTATTGCCTTATGCGGTAACAACAAGTTTTCGGTGTTTCTCCTCGCTATTAAACAAAAAGAAGGGCCTAAAAGAACTCACCGAGCACAGTCGGTTCGAGGTCAATATAGATGGCCCTTGGAACGAACTTCCCATTGCTAGACTCAGAATAGAATGCTTGAAGCGACTGAAAAGCAGATATTATTTGACACGTTGTGGCTTTTCCAACGAATTTACGCATTCATTCATGCCCCATTGTAGGAGCGTTTTCAGCCCTCAGGCAGGAACACCTAATACAAGAAGCTCGGACTTTTTTGGAAAGTTTTCTTGCTCTCGTAAATAGTCATGCTCTGGAATCATCGAAGCACCACTCTTACAAGGGACCGGATTACCATGTATAAGTACAGTAAACAACGATCAATATAAGACAAAAAGCACCTGTGAATTCATCTTCTTCTGGTCGATGGACTCATGTAGAAATCCACTTTGATCAATGCCATGTTCCAAGCAATACAACTCCCAACAAGCATTTCCAACTTGTGCCCCTGCTTGCCCAATGTGGATCGAAATACATTCTCTCTGAAACGCAATATAGAAAAGTCACTTTTATTCGCCACTTTGCTACAGAGGCGAGAAAATCGAAAAAATAATCAGATTTCCTTACCCCTTCCGAAGGCATGGAATAATTAGTTGCTAGACGGAAATAATTCAGTGAGCGTGTGAGGGTAAAAACAAGGCCACTCCCAGAGATACAACGGTGAGATTACAAGCCGCGAATGACCTGGCCAAAGAGAAATAGCAGAAATGGATTGATCTCCGATAAGATTTCGTTCTGACAGTAATGTAAAGAGTCCTTGAAGATTAATCAAAGTCTTATTGGATTTGTTTGACCATCATCGCTGAAGTCGCAGAGAAACCTGCTCAGAGATGATGGCAATTTGTTTTGAATTTTTATGCTACAAGGAAAGGATCAACCAAACTTCGACGAACATCGGACAGGCATTTCTGATAGCCTTGATTTGTCTAGCGCTACCTTATG